GTGCAAATAGAATTTTAAGCCCAGCATTTGTGTATACCACTGTCAAGTTAGTGAAAAGCTGCTGATAAGATTACGACGGCATAGAGGCAAATGCATTTTTCGAAAGGTCTTCATTGAGCAACACTCACTATTGATTCTACCAAGTCTGCAACAACTGTGATACTTCCAGACAACGAAGAAACTGGACTGTCCCGAAGCTGCATAACGGGTGAAGAATCCAGTCCTTTGGAAGGTGCTCAGGTCACCGTGGATCAAGAAACCATCGTTAGAGGTGATCTCCTAAAGCGAGTAGGCACCGGGCGGCAAGCACATTGGGGAAAGCGCTTGGAAGGTACCGTCAAGACAAAAGGGTTAATCAATGCGGAAGAGAGCCTGCCACAACAATCATGACAATAGGATTATTAAAGCATCCCTTTTTAGTCAACGTCTCGCACTCGATATCTGTGATGGTAGCACTCAGAGTGAAAGTGATGCTGTCTTCTCGCTTGAATCATCCCTATCTAATCTGCTCTTGGAGTCCCGCTGATCGGCTTTCTAAAAGCGGGTATCAAATCCCCTTCCGGGCGAGGGATGGCTATATTACATATATCGGGTGCCTAATTAAGTGATCTACTCACGAAGAACACAAATCTCTCTAGTTTCTGCGGAATGGCAATATTTTTACAGTACCATCTGGAGATATAGTCATCCTGGGTATTTCCTCGCGCTGCCTGTGCCCCATATCTCGGTGAGTCCGGGCGTAGTATTTTAAAATATTTTAATTACTCTTATATTAAAATTAAAATATAAAACTTATTTTCTTTTAATATTAATTCTATATTTTTAATATCTTTTAATATAATTTTATTAAACTAATTATATATTTCTTTATAATTTAGATTATAAAGAGCTTAACGAGTTATATCGTAATAGATATAAGATAAGAAACTAAGAGAGATATCTATAATATTAAATATTTTACGAAATAATAGATCTACGTTATTACGTAAAGTACTTTAATATAAACTCGCTAAGATATATATTAGTCGATATCGATAGTATAATAACTTAATAAAGATAATATATAAATAGAAAGATGCAAAGAAAATGGAGAATCGTATATAAATCTGTGTGCGATTCCCCGCACTTAGTGCGGGCTTGGCGTTCCAATCTTTTTGTCACCCGCGAGCCTGTCTACTAATAACCCCACTCCATCCCCTCCTTCTCAATTTCAATGTCAATAGATCTCGCGGTACCGTCACGTACTTCATATATGATTCGTAAGCTGTTACATCGACAATGCCTCTCAATGCCTCTGCCATTTATCCATCCTCAGATCCCGAGTTCATCTCCTTTCCTAGTCGTCGAAGCGTTGTTCATAGTACCAATGGCATCGTTGCGTGTACCCAGCCGCTGGCTGCTCAAGCAGGGCAGAGAATGTTACGGGCTGGCGGGAACGCAGCAGATGCGGCTGTGGCCGTGGCAGCTGCCTTGAATATGACGGAACCCTCTTCCACCGGGATTGGGGGCGATATGTTCTGTCTCTTCTACAACGCCAAGACTAGGAAGGTGGAATCTATGAATGGGTCTGGCCGGTCTTCAGGAAGCGGGTCATTGGAACAAATGCGAAAGGACTTAGGGGTGAAGCCCGGAGAGCCTGGGACAATCCCTATGACAAGCGTCCAAGCTGTTACGACCCCAGGGGCCGCAGCTGGATGGGTAGACACAATTGAGAGGTTCGGTAGTGGAAAGCTCAGCATGGAGGATATCCTGAAACCTGCGATTGAGCTTGGCGAAGAGGGTTTTCCGGTGGCAGAGCTGTCTTCGTTTTTTGTGAGCAGCGAAATTTCATCACATATGGATCAGCGCTAATCATTGGTAGTGGCGCGCCAGCGAGAAGCTCATCCGCAATGCTTCCCCAAACTTTGGCGAAATGTTGAAAACGGACAGCAAGGCACCAGACGGCAAACGAGCGCCTAGGCCAGGAGAATTGTTCTACAATCCAACCCTCGCTAATACGTTCCGGCTTCTCGCCAAAAATGGCAAAGCTGGATTCTACGAGGGTTCGGTAGCCGAAGCTCTGGTAAAAGTCGTTCAGGACCTCGGAGGTCATCTAACTCTTGAAGATATGAGATACCACGCCCAAACAGGAACCGAGGAAACAAAACCAATTTCCTTGATATTCAACAGCCAAGACATCGGTGCCATCCAGAGTAAAGGTCTCGATGGACAACCTAGCCAGACCGCCCCATCCCATGGAGTGGAAGTATGGGAACACCCACCTAATGGTCAAGGAATAGTTGCTTTGATGGCCCTTGGAATACTGGAAGAACTCGAGAAAGCGGGCAAGATTCGTAATTTCGCGGAAAAGGAGCACAATTGCACCGAGTACCTCCATGCGGTCATCGAAGCTCTCCGTATTTCTTTTGCAGACGCCGCCTGGTTTGTCGCAGACCCCAACGTCGTCAAAGTACCAACCGAGGAAATGATCTCAAAGCCCTACCTTGCTGAACGCGCCAAACTCTTCAACCCCAAAAAAGCATCAGAACGTCCAGCTCACGGCTCACCGGCCCACAACCACAGCGATACCGTCTATTTCGCCACCACCGACAAGGATGGCAACGGCTGCAGTTTCATCAACAGTAACTTCGGCGGCTTCGGCACATGCATCATTCCCAAAGGCTGCGGCTTCACCTTGCAAAATCGTGGTGCGGGGTTCTCATTGAAAGAAGGCCATCCCAACGTCTTTGCGCCGAGGAAAAGGCCGTATCATACTATCATCCCATCTATGATCACGAATCCGGATGATGGCAGCTTACACTCCGTATATGGCGTGATGGGTGGCTTCATGCAGCCACAAGGGCATGTCCAAGTGTTGTTGAACATGCTAGCGTTCAAGTACGAACCACAAGCTGCGCTAGATGCGCCGAGGTTCTGTATAGGGGCTGGTATGCCAGATCAGGGGAGTTTGTTGGATACTATTTATCTCGAAGATGGCATCAGCGAGAAGGTCAAGAAGGGCTTGACAGCATTGGGGCATAAGGTTGAAACAGTCAGAGGACATCGGAGGGGACTATTTGGTAGGGGACAAGTAATCAGATGTCATATGGAAGATGGGCGGCATGTGTTTAGTGCTGGGAGTGATCCTAGAGGGGATGGGGCGGCCTTTCCAGTATGATGGATCCAGCGTCAGTCTTGCAGGTTCCTTGCAAATTGACGCTCTCCACGGTATCTCCCGTGTACCAATCCTAAAGCTCCACGGCCTGCTCTTCGGACTGCAGACTTACCTCCAAAGCCGTCGCGTATCTTTGCACTCGTGCTGGTAACCCTCTCCATCGACCCCATACCTCATAATGTTGCCTGAAGTATCTGTCTCCTCCCATGGTGGCTCAATGCTTCCGTCAGGGGCGCACATAATGACCCACAGAATGTTGAGGATACGTTGGATCGGTGCATGAATGGGACCAAATCGGGCCATCCCATATCTTGGCAGATGGGTAGTAAATTTCTTGGCCGAACATCGAAGATTACTGCTTTCTTTGCAACGGAACAGCCTCTAACTTAAAAGGTTTACCATCAAATTTTGTATGATAAACTTTTATATCTACTCAGAAGAAGAGTTCGCGATTCAAGAGTTTTCCTATAAGTCGCTTTGTTATTTATTGTGCTGTGTTAAAAGCAACGAATTTTTGATGTACGGTCGGCAGCCCCTGATATTTACTACCTGCCAAGATACGGGATAGGTGCTACTGTAGCGAAATTTAGATGCAGTCCGCTGAGCCAAAACAAGGGTTCCGAAGAGGAGGAAACATTCAATCAGATTGACAGGCAACACCTTTTTTGGTTCTAAAGGAATGCCATCTGAGTTTTCTACGCCCAAAGCAGGAGGGGTTTGAGACTCGACAATCGAAGTCCAGTTGTGAGTAACTTACCTTGGCAATACATGCAAAGCGGTGCTGAACGTAGTCTCCCCTGCGACGATCAGGCTCCCCACGGCTTGCTGACCGACCTGATATCTCGCGCGTTTGATGACTCGTCTTGTCTTCCAAGTCGTCTCGTACCGTGTCCAGGCAATGTAAGGCGTGGAACATCCTGCTTATACGTTTCATTGCGCTGCACCCACAACTTCCCATTTGGGCTTTATCATCGCTGACTTTCGATCTGAGTAGTCTTCGCTTAACAAGTTGATTTTCTTCGGCTACCTGCACGCATCCTGGTACTATGCGACCGAGATTTACACCTATAGTCCGGAAGGAAGGGAGATGTGCTGAATGAGAAACTTCAAGGGTGCGGAGCATTGTGCAAATGAAAGCTAGACGACCGGCAATGACCTTGCAGATCAGGACTTGAGAGGAGCTCATGGCTCGATCGATGTCCTGGAGTCTGTTCACAAGCTTCCTTCAAAGGATAAGTCTACTCCTTGTTAAACCAAAGGGCAAAGTAGCGGGAGAAATGCAATGGGAGATGCTCAGACCTCAGACCAGGTCTACAACGCAAGGTCGTATGACGTGAATGGCCTATCCTTCTTCCTCTGCCCGATCAACATGGTCGCGTGCAGGGTGCAGAGAGCTCGTTCCATCAGGATGCGATGTCTCGTGAGATACTGCAAATGGGACCTCCGTGCTTTCACTCACCTTTTCAGATGGTGACAAAGTTCGATCCGCGATCAGCATTACAGGACATAAAATAAGAAGTCACCTATATCCATTGGCCATGATTTCGCTACCATGACATCAATCAAGCAATTGGCAACTATCTGTGCGCATGCAACTTTGCATATCTGTTACGCTTTCGAGGCAAAAGGTTCGAATGATTGGGAGCAAAGCTCATGGCTGCTTTCATCACAAGTATCCGCAATCGAGATATAGGCTATAAAGAGAGACCCTTCTGAATTACCAAAAATCCAACCTCGGTCTCGTCAACGGTGCTTCGCCCTAGAAGATTAAAAACCCCACGTTTCAGCGCAACCCCTCTGATATCTTCCCCGAGACCGAAGACCTGAAGTCCTCTTGCTGGGTCGCCTATTTGCCCTCCTCGAACTCCTAAACACCATCAGATCCGCGCTTCTCCACCAACCATGAAGGAATGAAGCTTGTCTATCGAAGCACTCACCTGAGCCGCAGCGCGCTTCTCGTCTTCCGGGTAGGTTTTGAACGGGTAGATATAGTCTTTGGCTGGATCGGATCGTTTTTCCTCTCCCGGGTAGGTTTTGAACGGGTAAACGTAGTCTTTGGCTGGATCGGATCGCTTCTCTTCCTCCGGGTAGGTTTTGAACGGGTAGACATAGTCTTTGCCTGGATCGCCAGGAGCTGCCACTCGCTTCTCCTTTTCAAATCTCAACTTCTGAAACGTTGGAAGAGTGTCTGCCGGAAACTCACTTTGATTTCAGAGCCAGATGTTGGCGCTGCGATGGTCACAGTGAGCATTGCCGCGAAGACGGCGATGACCGAGGGTTGGAAATGCATGTTGGATTATCGGTCTTGCCTTTTGAGGTGAGTAATTTTCGAAGCAATTTTGAGCAACAGACAATGATGTAGGGGACAGTCGGATTGAGGAATAGGGGAATTCAAATAGAAGAGGATTGTAATGCTTTTATGGAGACTTGGTGCTGGTTGCGACCTCCTCAGCTGACCTTACTATCACACTCTAGCTTCGGAATGAACAACGAGTGTTCGGCAGCCCCTAGGGTCGAATTTTAAAATCCTGCACCGTTACCGTATCCTGCTCGCAATGCTCGTGACACATTCTGAGTTTTGGATCGGCCATCCAATTATGCTGTGTAGGAAGGTGGTGCGCCAGCGACATCCTGTCAGTCCATGCTCGGAGTGGAGTACCCCACTTTGCACTGCTGTATGATCTGTAGGCACCATCGCTCGTGTCCCATCCGAGCCCTTCCCACTGGTCAGAGAACGAGATGCGGGGCTGGTGGTTAAGGTGTTGGACAGCGTTGTTGGGCTATTGATCTTCTGAATCCGGTTTGACAAGTGTTGCTTCTGCATCATATCCGCATTCTGAAAAGACTTTGCGTCAGAGTGAAATTGGGACCAGCTGAAGATGAGATTTCAAGGAAGCTCGTTCTCATGCACCTGAACTTCCGGAGCAGATAATTCCTATGCACCTCGCATGCGCATGCGCTATCATTCATGCATTTTCAATGAGAGGCCAAGAAAATTAGACGAGTTGAATCCTCATAGTTCTGTATCTTCAAAACAAGTCGATCAATCGTCAAAATGATGGTACAATAGTTGTTCTAAGGTACTCAGCAAGCAGTACCCTGCGTTAGCGTAAACCTTGTTCGTATGCGAAGTCGCTACTCGGCTATGTATCTGACTTCCATTCAACTTCACATGTATACCTTTCAATGTTCTAGCGTGTCATCGTCCCCATGTCCTACACCAAATCTTTTTCGTCTGGCCCTGCAACATCAGTTCTATAGGCTGGTCCTGCTCTGAGCAAAGACTATGCAATGCCGCGCCATGCTGGGATTTAGGTCCGTTGCGGGGAAACCTACTCCTGGCATCTTGCATGCAGATTGGGCCTCGCATCGTCCCTTTGTCCCACACGAGATCTTATAAACCACATGCATATCAGACAGCGGACCGTCCTGCCCCGCAATATCAGTCTTGTATCTTGATCCTGCCATTGAAATGGCAGGTGCAATGCCAAGCCATGCTGGGGTTTAGGTACAGTGCGGGGAAGCCCATTCCGGTGTATCATGCACGCGCGTTGGGCCTCGCATCGTCCAGTCGTCCCGCACCGGATTGGAGAATTTTATGCAGGTCAGACGGGAAGGGAGCCCACCTCCGCAATATCAGTCTTGTAGTCTGGTCCTCGGCTGAGTCAAGTATATGCTGTGCCAAGCCATGCGTTGTTTCAGGCATCAAGTCTGCCAACGGATGCGAGACACTTCGCATCGTGGTTCGTCCATTGACCTTCGTTCGTTGCAGCTTTGCGCGTGACATGAACGCGAGCCTGCTGAAGAAAACTTGATGAGGTCGAGGACGCCGATCCCGTACGGGCTTGGACGTGGTAAATTCGCTCCGCACCCATCCTTGTTCATCTCCATAATTGAAAGAAACGTGTTGCGGGAAGATTGGCGTGATTGAGATTAAGCTTTTCTCTAGCATGAGTATCCCATCAATGTACTATTCTCTGGGGAAAAGGGGAGCTGCGTAAGACCTTAATATGCGCAGCAGGATCAAAGCCAACCCTTCAGATCTGGGATGTAGGTCGTACAAGGATCCCGATAATCTTGTCTCCTCAGCCTTCCTTGAGCAACTCATTTCATCTCCTCGAACGCCTCGACTCAACAAAATTCTTTACCGGAGAAAGTTATCAGGGATTTCCTGACAAAGACCTAAGCACCTTTGGACTCGAGATGCCTTCTTTCGACCTTTTCAAGTACTCCAAGACTGCTCTCGCACTTTCAGAAGATTCGTTGCATGAGAAGCTCCATCATGGACAAATAGAAAGCTTACTTGGAAAAGAGCAGCTCCCTGACAGGCAAAAGTATGACCGGTCGCAATGGAAGACAGTCACGCTCCGAGTTTGCGAAATAGTAGTAGTGTTGGTGTGCATCCTGATGTTTGTACTCGGGCTGCGCTGGCAGCTCAATGCAAACCAGCATTGCCTCGAACTCCAATCCTTCTATTGTAGGCACTTCCGCAAAAACTTTGCCAAAAGATTTCAGAGGCCCTGACTGAAAATGTTAGCACCCGTATTGAACCAAATCGACAATCGCTACAGATTAGTGCAATTCAACGGCTCCCTAAACTGGCCATCGCCATATCGCGGCCACCCAAGCCCACAAATCGACGCTGAATGGAAGAAACTGGAGTCACGTACGTACCCTCCCCCCCACACACAGCAATATCCTTCCTTCTTCCTCTCAGAGCTGTAGCAGTAACATCTTTCTTCACCACTAGTATACCCTGGCAGCTCCACCCTTGAAGAAGTGCTCCTCTCGGGCGGCACAGCAGACGACGTGCGTCTGCCGGAAGAACTTGGCGGTGGCTACATGACATCGTTCGAGGTAATCCATCAGCTGCACTGCCTAAACCTCATCCGCATGGCCACCTACTTCGACTACTATAAAGACAAAGCGATCGAATTCACGGATAAGCCGAGAACAGTGCGCTTGCATATCGGTGATTTCTTCCCCTTCTACCCTATCCCAGCACTGTTTCTTGCCTACCTGGAAGGACCTCTCCGCTGACAAGAAGGAAAAAGACCATTGCATCGAAATGACACGCCAGAATATCATGTGCCACGCCGATGTTGGGCTGATGAGCAACCACTGGATCAAGAACTATCCGCGTCCGTTTGCCAATTTCAACACATGGCATAAATGCAGGAATTTCGATGAGGTGCTGGACTTGGCGTATAAGCATCAGGTACCGACGCCGCTGCCTGAAAATTACACTTGGCCTGTAGTAGAAGGGAGTAGAATTTGGGATGATGAGCCACAGCCGGGGGAGTGGGAGGGGATGATTGAGGGGTTTGGGAGTTGATGGGGTGGCGTAATAACAAAGGGTCGGACAATTCGATGTTTATGACAGTAACAGTGAGGATACAGGTCTACACATCTCTAAAAGATGAGCGGTCAGTAAGGTAATGCAATTCTCAACGAAGTCCAGTATTTTCGGGGACTCGACGTGTATCGAACAATGATGTGGAATCATAGTATGAATAAGTAGTATACCGTCTATGACAAGCGGCGGTCACCCTGAGTATGTAGGGGGTCGAGGCCGGGGTACCTTTCAACCGGCTTGGCAGTACAAGGCATAAGAAAAGTAACCCGGACTCACTCAAGACCTGCCCGAGCGTGGCCGCTTTAGCAACTTAGCAAGTGATGTAGGTGAGCTGGTGAGGTTTACCCTGAACCCCACCTTACTCCTTTAACCTATGATAATGATTTACCCTACGATACTCTCTCCACGTACGGAATTCTCCTATCCTACAATACTCTTGCAGTCTACGGTGTAAATCAAGGCCATACTAACTGTTAGTTATTACTTAAGTAATCTTAGTTTAAATAGAATTTAATCTATATATATAAATTGTTCGTACGCGTCGACGCGAGTACAATGATTCGGTTTATGATAGAGTTAAGATCAAGTCAATGACATTAACTACTTCTCCAGAAATCTAGATACAAAATAATGAGAGAAGCATGTATCAATTTCACTAGGCCGGATTGCAAGTATGTGTCAAGAGTCCCCCGTAACAGCGTACTTATCTTATTTTCCTCTTTTCATATAAAGTAGCATTCCAAAATCCTTTACTTGCTTCATTTCTGCTTCATTCAGAACGTTATATCGATCGACTTTCTTGCGCAACACGTTCCGCCAGTTCTTCCTCATCCCAATATCCATATTTGCGACGTTTATTCTTGATAGATCTCGGCCATAAACTCGAGTTCCCTTGGCCTCTAACTCAGCCAATTGTGCCTTCTCAACTTCAGTCAATTCGTCGCCTCGTTCGATGATCGTTATCAGAATTTTGAGTCTGGCCTGTCTAGTGGCGCAATCCATGTCGTCAATTTGGACCAAGCTAAGGTCTCGAAAGAAATGCTCGAGACGGTTGGTGCAACAGATTTTCTCGGACCACATATTCATCGACACTAACTTACTTAGAGAGAACCAGAGAAGTCGTTGACTCCTGCTTATTATGAGGCCCAAAGTGGGTAGTACCTAAACGTTTAGTTTCAGTTTCAGAGTCGATAGCCTTCGCCTCCGCAAGCTCTGTTTGACTCTTCAAATTCGATTCCATCCGTGGGATGTCCTCCGCCGGATTTTCCTTTGCTCTCTTTTGGAAGAGATCGCCGTCCGCTCCTCTCTTGCGTTTGCATCGTTTGTCGCTCTCTTCGCTGACGGGAAGATACGAGTCATCACTCAATACGGAAGTCGCTACCCTGTCACTGCGTCCTTTCCTCGATTTTGGTGCATTTCTGTCGTTTGTGATTAAACTGGATAGAATCATATCATTCTCAGTTGAAAGCAACTCGTGGCCAGCTTCTCCAGATACAATGATTGGATTTGGCGTAGAGGACAGCGCTATAGCAGGGCTGGCCATTGAAATCTGAGTCTGAAATTTTAGAATTGCTCGAGCCTGTGCAGTACTGTTCCTTGCTTGTTGGGGGTTCTTCCGAGGTACACGGAATCTCTTGTTCCTACAACTTTGATTCGTACTGCTTTGAGCCTCATACAGTACTGCGGAGTCTGAGGGATTTCGTCGTGTATTCCTTGGAAGCTTTGAGGATGGGCGCAATCTGTCCAAAAGCATGGCTTTGATGTTGCTGTCAAATTGTTGGAACTTTTGCGCAAACCTAAAATATAGTTGCGTTCAACAGAAAGTATCTCCTCTCGAAGCGGGATGATATCTTTTGTTGGTTACACGTGCGACGGAACCTCACGCGCTCAACATAGAGAGGACGATTCATATACAGCGTCCAGCGTGGATTGCTATTGACTAGGATTTGCCTTAGACCAGCTTTGATGGAGTTATTGCAAATGATGCAGCTGCATACTACCTCGAAAGGGAGACCAGAGTCAGCAGGCTCGATCTGCAAGCATGTTTCCAAAATCGTAGATCCGGTCGAATGCACTGGCTTTTGCGTCGCTTCATCCATTCGATGGTCTACCCTTTCAGTTTTGCATTCGCTGTTGGTCATCTGTTCGACATCCGTCTCAGATTCGGAGCGATACAAAGCATTTAAAACAGAACCTAGTTCCTTGATGACCACTGCGTGGAACTGGTTATTTACCAGTCTATTCCACTCCTTTCGGCGAAATAGAACTCTCTGACGGGCATACCTGTCATTTTCGAGGCTGCAATATGAATCTTGTCATGCAAAAGAGTGATTGCTGAATCTTTTGGTTCGTAGAAGAGTCTCTATGGATGTAGAACAAGCAGGCAGATCCTTCGAAATTTGTATCTCAAGTCGGCATTGCGGTAGTTTGATTCATGTGCCAAAAATAAAGTGACGCCTTCGAAAGGACCCCAGAGTGGGAGAGCCGTGAATTTGTTGACGTTGCCCCTACTGCTTAAGATTCTGTTGTGAACTTTGCGGCCATGCAGCAACTCGACTTTTGCTAACATTGATTCAGAGATGTCCCTCGTATGATCCTCATGGCAATCTAGAACAGGTTCTGGGAGAGTTCTAAGACCCTCAGAATCCTCGGAACGTCGATGGAGATGGTCGAATACTAAAGTGCTCGGGGTGTAAAGGTTGCCAGTCAACATAGCGATACAACCGTTAGTTGGGTCGGCCGTTTCACTGTCATCTTACGAGGATAAAGTTGTGTGGGATGGTTGCGAAAGATGATGCGCTAGAGGAGCATCCAATGATCCAGAGGCACGGACTAGTGCATCTCGAGGAGGGAGCTTCTGGCGTGCTAGTCTTCAGCTGTGTAGCTCCTTGACTTTGAATTGGTCATATGCCACATCTAAAGACTTCAATGGCCTGTTGAGCTCTAGATCCGTTTTAGAATGAAGAATCGCAAGACACAGATACCTGTACTATACGTACCTCTCAAATTTCGACTGTGAAGCATTTGGAGATCTTTCTGGAGCGAAGGAGCCAAAGTCTCGTGATCTTTGAAAAGGTCACAGTCAGATGGACGAGAAAGATTGAGATCACCCATAATATGGTAGTTCGGCTCCATCCGAAGTTTGTCGTCTGTTAAGCCACAACAAATTGTGCCACTTGTAAGGTCCATCCTACGCGAACAGAGCTTAGACCGTGGTCTAGCGCGTCTCCGCTACGCGCCGCTAAAGACCTATTCAAAATGGAATGCACCATTCTTCTGAAAGCTCTCCAACTATGGATTGAGGCGAGCCAGGTGTGATCTTGACGGCAGCTTGAGGTAGAACACTTATTTGTATTAGTCTAGGAGCGTTACGGAAGAAATTTATCTACCTACACGTGACAGCACGCCTCGGGTGTGTCAAGAAGTTTAGATAATATTAAGTAGCCAGAGGTTTGGTCTAAGATATAAGACGAACACGACGAGAAAAGAAAAGAGAATCAAGTTCGCTATGAGAAACCTTCATTATGTATCTGCCCACGCCTGCCACGCTAGCCTTTATGTCCATACTAACCCAGTGTTCGCGTGTGTCTACGTTGTGTGTGTCTCTCAAATTGTAGTCATATGACCGGAACTGAATGTTGAAGGAAAGATGTTCACGATGGGGGTGGATACGAGTAACATTTAGCAAAAATTGAAGTTCATTCCAATGATTTTGGAAAAAAACATTCGACACCTGCAGGATTCGAACCTGCGCTCTGTCAAATTGTTAGTCACTTGAGGTCTAACTTTTTACAACCTTGGCTTACCTCGAAAGAAATGCCTTAGCCGGATAGCAGGGCATCGCGTTAACCACTCCGCCAAAGTGTCTTTGTTGCTGGATGATGAATGCTATTTTAATAAAAGTTCTAATAAAAAATGTTGAGGTGGGAACTGCACAAGGTGTACGCGGTGTAAAATACGATGTTTTCACTCTCGTTTAGACTTGTGCTGTGGCTCGTAATTTGCCTTAGTGTGTAATTTCCCAGCTTACCCAGGTGGTGCGACCACAGGGCGGCGAGATCGGGGTACATTTCGTATAGCTTGGCATCGCGCTTCGCGTCTCACTCTACAACAATTGACGCTGCCAAACAGACAGCTCCTTTGCTATGACACATCCGCTACTCTCAACTCGTGATGCCTACCGGTAGCATCTTTGAGCATCTACCTCCTACTCCAAACGCTGGTTTGAGGCCACTACATCGCCGCAATAATGACAGAGACGCTCCACAACGCGCCCATAGTGCTAGACAATGGGAGTGGGACGATACGAGCTGGCTTCGCGGGGGAGGACCTCCCGAAATGCTACTTTCCATCCTTTGTGGGTAGGCCAAAACATTTGAGGGTGTTGGCTGGGGCTCTAGAAGGGGATGTGTTTATTGGCAAAAGAGCGGAGGAGCTTAGAGGATTATTGAAGATACGATATCCCTTAGAGCATGGCATTGTCACAGACTGGGATGATATGGAGAGGATATGGCAATTTGTGTATCAGGAAGAGCTGAAGACTTTGAGTGAAGAGGTACGCCGCTCACAGGATCTCTTCTGGCACTTCCACCATGAATTGCCCCTAGAGCTCGGCTGACTGAGGACCTTCGTGACTACAGCACCCAGTCCTTCTCACAGAACCCCCCCTTAACCCACGAGCGAACCGGGACACTGCCGCCCAAATTCTCTTCGAAAACTTCAATGTCCCGGCACTGTACACCTCCATCCAAGCTGTCCTCTCACTTTACGCCTCTGGTCGCACAACAGGCATAGTCCTTGATGCAGGCGATGGTGTATCACACGCAGTACCAGTCTACGAAGGCTTCGCTATGCCAAGCAGTATACGGCGAATCGACGTTGCGGGGAGAGATGTGACGGAATATATGCAGTTGCTGTTTAGGAAGAGCGGCTATGTTTTCCACACGAGTGCGGAGAAGGAGATTGTGAGGAATATCAAGGAGAAGCATTCATACGTGGCGTTGGATCCGAAGAAGGAGGAGAAGGAGTGGATGCAGCATGCGGGAAGGCCAGAGAGCAAGGTCGTGGAGTATCCGCTACCGGACGGGAATAAGATAAAAGTGGGTTTTTGGCATGCGTTCTTGAGAATCACGACACTAAGGGTGAATAGATTGGTTCGGAGAGATATCGCGCGCCTGAGATCCTGTTCGACCCTGAGATCATCGGACTCGAATACCCGGGAATACATCAAATCGTTGTCGATGCAATTAACAGGACGGACGTGGACCTTCGGAAATCCCTGTTTGGCAATATCGTGTTGTCAGGGGGCTCAACACTCACAAAGGGTTTCGGAGACCGGCTGCTGCATGAAGTGCAGAGACTAGCGGTCAAGGACATGAGAATCAAGATCTTCGCTCCTCCCGAGAGGAAATACAGTACTTGGATCGGAGGTAGTATTCTTGCTGGGTTGAGTACTTTCCGAAAGGTTCGTCATCCAGTCCCGATTAGTCGGATCTCGGTATTAATGTGCGCTCGCAGATGTGGGTCAATATCGATGACTGGCACGAGAACCCTGAGATCATTCATACGAAGTTCAACTAGGGAGCTATATGTGTTTTGACTGCCAGCCTATGATTTCTCCACTGCAATGGTCAACAATGGCAAGCAGTCCGTCACGAGAAGAGGGGAAAGGTCGATCTTCTGTGTCTCGAGGTCGGCACTACTTCCTATCACGACTTCACGAGGGAAGACTGGCAGACCGACCTTAAGGAGCCCAGGTTTAGAGATTCCAGACCGCTTACCAGGCTGCGTACTTTGCTCTAGGTTTTTACCCGCGTTTCGGAACGTCGTACCTGATCGTTAGAATGCGGGGGAAAGCACTACTACACGAGCCCAAATTTAGGGCAGGTCCATTCAAGCTGGCATGGAGACTCGTGGTATGGTCAAATGGATCCGAGAGGTGGCATGGGAAGAGCGAGAGCTTGGAATATGTAGCTGGATGCATGCACAAGTTATTACAGCCTTCATCGCTGTCAACACAATGCAAGAAACGCAGACTGCTTCGATTACAGGGGGTCATACTGCGTCCAGTGGATGCGTCACGTTCTTCAACTGGACTTGGGCAGCGTCGTAGCATCCGCTTTGGAATTTCCATTACCCCCATAATATGCAATATTACCCTCATGAAATTGCCCCTCCCGAAGCCAAGAGACATCAAGGCGTAAGCAAATGGTAAATCAAACCAACATGCTCCCAAAGCCTGAATTATGACTGGATACATTATTTTCGAATTACGTTTTGCCTTGATTTTCCGCTTCAAAAGCAGCGAGTGAAAATTCTGCCGTGTCCGATGGCTCTTCGCGGAGCATGTTCCGACACAGTGAAATTTCAGTGGAAGCTTCTGGACGATCCAGACGCCGCTTTGTCGGAACTTTCGCCTTACTTACCCCATCGGTTGCCGTTAACTGCAAGGCGCCTCGGTTGGCTGCGGTCACGCACCCATCGAAAATCCTCGCTTTTTAACTGGTCTTTCCAGTTAACGGATTAGTATCTTCACCTAATGGCAAAGTAAGGTGCAATTGTTGAAGAAGCTTCCCACATGTCATTATTAACCAGACGGTGGCTCCGATGGGGAAAGAGGATATATAAGGGGGTGGGAGTGCGACTGTCTTTTGATTGATTTGAGCATTCACCAGACACATCTACCTACCTCCACATCCACACTCAGATCAATTTAGAATCCAACCATTCAATCATCAAAGACATCTACCCACCTGTCTGATATCCAACTGAACACCCCCCACCCAACCACCCAACCATCCACACACCTCCCCACACCACAACCACACCCATGAGCGACGCATTCATCCTCGAATACCTCTCCGCCCGCCCAAACCAGGTCGGTCTACCCCACCACCACCACCACCACCACCACCACCACCACAACAACACACCCCCCACCACCATGTCCACCCCCTCCTCCACCTCCACACCCTACACCCTCCACGAACCCGCCCCCACAAGGACCACCTTCGGCCGCGGCGGCGCCGGCAACCGCACCCCCTCCACCCCCCTCCCCCCGTCCGCACTACCACCGCCGTCCGACACGCACGGCCGCACGCCCAACTACAGCACGGGCCGGGGCGGCGCGGGCAACATGCACGCCGCGGGCGAGGAGCGGCGCGTCTTCAGTTTCGACGAGGAGTTGGCGACGACGGGGGGCGGGGTGCCGGTTTATCACGTCGGGCGCGGGGGGCGGGGGAATGCGGTCGGTGAGGAGGTGGGGAGGAGGGTTGGTGGGTCGAGTGTTGGGAGCGGGGGGAGCGGGGGGAGCGGGGGGGAGGGGAAGAGGGGGAGTTGGGATTGGATTCCGGGGGTGGGGAGGAAGGCGTGAGGGTGATGACTTTTCTACGGGCTGGGCGGTTTGGGTGGCTGAGGGGACTTGTTCTTCGCGTTTGCGGCTCTTGCGGGTTTTTTTTGGCGATTCCTTCTAATTGCTCTAGCTTGATGTCTTCGGGGCTGGTTCCCGGTGAGTACCGTTACGGAGTTTCACTGCGCCAGATACCCAATATAGCGAAGACGTCTGTATAATGCTCCTTGCACGGACGGCAAAAATATCCAATTCTTGCTTCATCAGAACAATGATATTACCACGCTATCCTGCTCACCTCCCTCCCTTCCAAAATCCAAACACTGTGTCGGTGGTGCCTGCTTGAGTTCTGGGGGATGGGTGCGCAAGCGCTCTTGAGGGTTTGAACGAACTATCTATCAAAATGCCTGAACTTGTTCATTGAACCTCGGACCGTCCATCCACCCCACTCCGATCTTGCGCCTCTTTTTCACTTCCGTAATAGCTTTAAGACTCATACTCTTCTTTGTCATTTCTTCCCTATCTGATCTTTCTATCAAAAGTGTAAATATCTTACTTCGATTACTAGCTTTCAAACAAACGTCTCTGTGGATTTTGACAGCGATTGTCCGAGGATCGATTTTGCAGGAAATGTAGTTGGATGTAGGGTGTGCGGCTGGGGCGGATGCCTGTTGTTCGGATACCTGCTGTAATGAAGCTTGTTGGTCGTCTAGGATTCCGCATGACGTGACTCCGATCTATGATGATTATAGCTGCTCTTCTTCGACTAGCAACGATCCTGTATGCCGGAAAAGCGGGCGAAGCTTTGGTTGACAGACGTAAATCTGGGAAGGAGGGCAATGTAAGCAAAACATTGATCACCAGGCATTCACACCAATGCCTTGCGCATGTGGGCCAAATGAGCGAGTACGACATTTTTGAGCATCAACGCTGAAGCATTTGAAGATGCAATCACACAACACAATAACAGCTTGGTCGAGCACACCAGTGCAAACCGCTTCAAGTTGTTTGCACATACCTGCGATGACGATGACCTCGGCGAGATTCATTCCATGTGTGATGATGGTAAGATTTTCACGGTTTTGCCATCCCAACCACGCCCCTTATTCTCTCTGCACTAGCAGCCAACCACGTCCCATCACCACCCCAATCCCTATCAGTCCCTCTCTTTGTTTGCTTCTTCTTCGCTTTTGCAGTCCTGGCTTTAATCCCCGCCTCCGCTGCCTCGTGTAGACCTGGCGTCCACGCTAGTCCGATGTGGTGGTCCAGAAGTCGCAGCAGAGTCTCAACGCACAAGCTGACCTTCGTATTATCCACAATACTGGTTGTGTTCGCCGGAAAAGGGAGATAGCTCCTTCCGAGTATGTCTTGTGAAATGTTGTCATTAAGCGGCAAAGGTGCAGATGCCGCGATGAGAGAACGTAGTATGTATTGTGCGAGTGATGATGCTGCGGCTGGGGTGAAGACGCGGAGAGTGGTTGGTGAGATTATGAGGAAAAATGCAGGTATTGGTAGAGAGCGGATGTGCTCAAGGAAGTTATCGTAGAGTGTGTTAAGGTCTGTGAAATCGTCGGGGAGGCCGGCGGACACTTTGGACAGGAGGGAGAGGAGACGAAGACGCAGGTTGACGGAGTCCATACCGCCAAGGTCATCTGCGACGTTGGGGATGGATTCTGACATTTGCTCAGGGGGAGGCGAGAGATCCTCTGGTGAGTCCGCCAAGTCCTCATCATCTTCGTCTTCCATGTAATCGCCGTAGTTGTCGGCTTCGATATCGATCTTCTTCTCTGCTTTTGTGACGTCGACGTCCTTCTTCAGCTCTTTTGTCTCGTTCTTCCAAATTTCGCCAAATTCAGCCACTGACTTTGTCCTGCCATCTGCAAAGACGGCCCTTATAATGTGTCGTTGCCTCCCCGCAGTGGTGGCTCCGGAGTTGATATATTTCATGATCAAGCTCTTCTCTCTCGATTCATGCCCCTCTCCGTGTTCCCGCGCATCCCAGTCCACTTCGAGAACCTCGATCATATACGTCAGCCAGGCGTTCCATCTCTCCCACCGCCGTTTGTGCAGGATACTGCAGTTGAAGCACCACCCGACAACATGCCAGAAACCTTCTGCATGTGCCCACAATGACCCAGCATTCGCCAATTCGGTATCAATGCGCTCATCATCATCGACAGGAGGGATTGCCCCTTCGCCTGTGGTTCTTCTTCTCCCACTTCCTCCGCGCCGCGACGAAAAGCTAAGACTATTGAATGTGAATGCGTCATTGAGATTGCCATTGACAGGACCAGCATGCTTTAGCACCAAGCGTAGATATCGAAGCGCAAGATTGGCGGCTTGGACTCGATCCAGGGTCTTCGCCCGTGTCGTCAGGGTAGGATGGACGGCTAGGGTCGCGATCAGCGCGAGGTAATGAGGCGGCGGAAGGAAGGCAGGAAGTGGGCTCGAAGAGGTAGACCCGGATGTTAAGAGTGAGGTCAGAAGATTTAAGGCTTGACAGTGAAGACCCTCTTCGAGATATATCATGCAATGCTCGCGGAGCTCATAGGGTAAATTTTTAACGGCGCGGTATGAGGGTAAATGGCCAGCGGAATATGCCGTTGTAGGGGAAGCATCCAATTCTTTGGCTGATTGCGAGGAGCTGAGTATAGTCAACGAAGATGTCGGTGGAAGGCTCTTAGCCTGCATCTTTCGTCGCGCGTGGCGGAGGAAGCCCCTCAAGTCCTTAATGGCCGGTACGAATAAGGGGAAGCCTTGAATGAAGTCGCAGTGGCTGTTGCACTGACGAAGAGACGCGATCGCGTTAAGCGCGCTAAAGAACGCGCACGTGACGTCTTATATTCCATAGAGGTCCAGAGCTTCAGTGTTTACAGTTTTGTGGTTTTTGCACTCCTTGCCTAGTTCATTAGAACAAAGATTTGGTCCCAAAGCTTTCACTGCGTATCATTTCAAACAACATAGATCCAAGAAATTTGATGATCTGGCGGCATCTTACTCCTGATTTCTGTTACTCTTATTGCGGTCTGACTAGAAATTGGTAGTCCTCTTCTGATCTAGGCAACTTGTCAGTCGTCGAGGCTCATGTATTCCAGCAGAGACCTAGACAGTCCAACTCAATGATGACAGAATCTTCCCATGAATATGACACGCCAGCCAGACATCAGCATTTTACAGCTATTCTTTCCTCTGACATCTCCTGGAGTGGCACCGGATGCATGCGTAAACGTACACGCTCTAACTCAGGACCTGGCTATATCACTCTGCTTGCGGTTGGACGCCTGTGATACGAAATTCTTGCCTTGATGCGAAGTCGTTATCGTCTAAAAGTAATCAAGGTACCACCACAAATGCCTGGCGACCAAGACGTCGGGTACCCTCTCAATCATGGAGACGCGGACATGGGGGGATCCACTGCCTAGAAGCGGGGTTCGTCAATGAAAGAATTGGTCTTGATTGGCTGGTGTCCGACCAAGTTTGGGGAGAGTGCGGCGCTCTGACAGCTTGCCCGGCGGTCATCCATTCTTTGAGCTCGTTGACAATTCTTTCCTTTCCCTTGGATAACAGAATCAGCCAAGAGTGTAGCCTATGTACCCTTCCTTGACCTTACCACCAAGCAACGGGCCTCTGTCTTAATACATATTATCGTGAAAGCAAGGCTTACGATTTCAGTCTGGGCCAGTTGGCGCGCGTACAACAAGGCTCTTGGGGATGGAATAGACACTGGATTATCAATGAGATTTGGAATCTCAAATTCGGTCATTCATTCTTCGGGTATCTGCATACCTTCGTCATCCTAGAGATTCTGAATTGAGCTTTTATGAAATGAATTTTCAGTTTCATAGTCATCCTGTGACAATGATGACCCACCAAGACACCGCCTAACCATTCTTTGCACCGTAATCGCTACCACCTATCTACTTTCTCCTGATAAAATAACTCCTGTCCTGTATACCTGGTTCATCCTTTCAAGCCGCAGACAATGGTAAAACGAGAGCCGCAGAGTCTGTCGCCGGCAAAGGCATGGCAGCCTACCGTGCGACGTCTCTATTCCAGCCTCATCATACCCGTGAAGCGATACGTGATGCCCACGAGGGCAAGATCCCAACTCTCCTTGGCCTGTCTCTCGCTTTGAGTACTGTCCCCACTGCAAGATTCATCGCACCACTCGGTTTTGATGCCGTCTGGATCGATTGGGAGCATTCTTCTTGTGGCGTGGAAACCATGACCACGGTACGAATAAAATCCCTTTCAGCATTATGCTGTCTAACACTGTGTTTAGATAGTCCACGAAATACAATTCATGAGTGAAGGTCGAACCATTCCCTGGGTCCGGTATGTCCTTCGACCTATTCACTCAAATCTACATCTCTGACAACGTCAACCAGAGTCCCAGGGCACGACCACGCCACCATCGGCTTCGCCCTCGACGCCGGCGCCTCGGTCGTCATCCCGCAAGTCAACACCGTCACCAAAGCCCAACACGCCGTCTCCTCCGTCAAATACGGCGTCAAGAACCGCGGCACCCGCTCCGCCCCTCCCTACCGCCTCATCCCGGGCGTCACGACCCTCCCCAGCGATCCCGCCGAAACCGTCCACGAGAACATGAACCGCCAAGCGGCAATCATGATCCAGATCGAAACCGTCGAGGGCATCGACAACCTCGACGCCATCCTCACCCACGTCCCGGACATCGACGCCGTGTGGCTCGGCACGCTCGACAGCCGGGTGAGCATGGATCCGGCCGCGACGGACTACGGGGACCCGGAACCGGAGGACTCGGAAGCGGTCGCCGAGTTCGCGCGCGTGCTGAGGAAACACGACAAGCCGCGCGGAGGGCTCGCCATGGGGACGCCGGAGGTCATGAGGGAGTTGGGCAAGGACGATTGCGTCAGTTTCATCGCGGCAGATGTGGCGGCGTTGACGGGCTTGGCAGACGTACTGCCCGTGGCGAGGGAGATGTTTCCGGCCAAGGGGGAAAACGTTGGGTGCTGAGGTCAATGGGCAAAAGATGAAGTGGCCAGGTAGTTTCGTCCGTATTGCTTCAAACGGAACAACCCCCGTGCGTTGTCGGAGTCGTTAGCGTGACATCCGAGACTAGCAGACTAGCTGGTACGACTGAAGAGATTTGATATCATCGTGCTTTTTTGACATCGAGCAGCTCGTTTGCACTGCGTGATATAACCACGCATAAAGATGGAGTCCAAGACGGATCGAAGCCAGAAAAGTTCTGCTCAGAAAGGGTTACATTCTGAAGGCCTAAACGCTTTTTAGACGCCGGTTTCAGGCATCAATCAAGCAGAATAATCGTTAGTTTCTTTTCGAGAAGAGCGTCGAAAATGATCTTGCGCTTGTCAACAATTCTTAGATGTGTGTCGCTGAGACAGGTACCTTATATGGCTATCCGGGCGGTGAGAGGGATGTAGGGAAAGACATTCTTCAATCGAATGGTTATCAGTGACTGAAATCGTGCAATAGAGCTACATAGCCGATGGTTCATTGTCCGAGGTAGCTAGCCAGCCATACAGTGCTTTCGTTCCACTTCCCAATACGTTACTCGGTTAAAGCCATCTGAGACCACTTACACCCCGTCCTTCTTGAGAAACATGGCCTTGAAATCAGCATTGCTCTTCGCATTTCCCTTCTCCTCTCCTTCCACCGTTCCGTTCATCTCCGCATCCTTGTCCTCCCCATCCTTCGTGGCTCTTGATCCGCTCAAGCCTACTCCTCCCCTCTTGATTCCCAATCCGCCTTTCCCACCCCTTCTTGTCCCAGGTTGACCAGGCCTTCGTATTGGTGCCGGCCCTTGTAGCTGTGCATTGATAGTCTTTGCTGCTGCACCGACTGCTATACGATCGCTGCGATATTCAGCTTTCTGCTGATTCATTTCACTGACTGTTCCAACGCGTATCTTCCTCTCGGGAGCTATCTCATGCCCTTCTAGGGCGAGTGACGCTTTGCCTACCGAGGCTTCGTTTTTGTACTCGATAATAGCTCCCTGATGATTCGGTCTGAGGGATACCTTGACCAATTCCCCGTAAGGTTCTGTGAGAGCTCGAATTCGGGCGTCATTGACTGTATCTGGTATATTGAGGAGCGCGAGGGTACGGGATTCGATTTCGGAAAATTTGGACTGGCCAGCTAAGTTGGTGGGAAGGGCGGGCGACGCGACACTGTGGGTGTCGCCATTCGTATGTGGAGGTGGGGAAGTGGTGCCGCGTTGAGATGTCGAGGTAGAGGTGATGATTTGGTTTTGCTTGCGTTTCAACTTGTCGTTGGTAGAGACCGAGACGTTCAAGACGCGATTTCCGAGCGTTGTGAGGTTCATTTCGAGGGCCGCTTCGGCCTCATCCTGACGAGCTGTTAGCGAGAGTACCAAGAATACATTCAATGATTTTGAGCCTACTTTACTTCGGAAGACTACATAGGCTATGCCTCTACTAGTGCCGTCGACTCTGGTGAGTACCCTCACGCTCTCAATGTGGCCGTATCTCTTGAAGGCTTGTTTGATGTCTGCCCTGGTTGTATTGCGATCGAGATTGACCAGGTAAAGTTCTCGTCCATCATACATGGCGCCCTCTCTCGGCTTCTTTTGCCCCGGATCCGATAATTTGGCTACAAGTTTGAGGTCGTCTCCAAGGTCCTCACCGTCAAGCTCAGTGGCGGATTTAGTATCGCTTGATGATTTGAATTGAACATAGCAGAAGCGCCGGTGCGTGTCGAACTTGAGGGATGGGAAGCGTATGTCAACAATCTCTCCATACTGTAAGCCGGTCAGCCATTTGAGCATCTATCTTGAGAGAGGCATCTCACCCTTTTGAACTTCTCTCGTATCCAAGTCTCATCAGCAACAGGAGGAAAATTACAAACGTACAGTGTCGATCCTGAGCCAATTTGAACTTCGATTGCCCTATCGTCAAGTGTCTTCATATTTTTTGTTTGGGCCGTTAGAACGTCTTCTTTCGAATCGAATTCAATGGACGCTGTTGCCGATCGACCATCAGCCTCTGACATGAGCGTCAGGCTGTTTATTGTGCCGCACTGTTAGATAATCAGCACGTTAAAAGTGGATGCCAAGGCAATGAGACTTACATCTCTAAAGTACTGTCGCAGCCTTGTCTCAGTCGTCTCGGGAGGTAGATTCTTCACCACTACGGTGGCATTTTCACGATCACGTTTGAGTATCGAAGGAGCCGCAAGATGCTGCTCTTCTAACTGCGTTTCTGTTGACTCGGCGACATCTGGTCGACTCCTCTTGCTGAACCCTGTCTCATCCGCGTCCTCCCGTTTCCGCTTGCTGGAAATCTGGCTGTCGTCTTCAAAGCTTGCGGGATCTTGCTGATCCCCCTGCTGTTGCTGTAACGCTTCGGCTTGTGCCTTCTCATACGCCGCGTAAGCCTCATTCTCCCTCCTCTTCTGCACAGCTCTTGTAGCTTTCCAGACTTGTGCGACTGAAGACTGAAGTTCCTCAGCATCTTCATTGTCTTCACAATGATGTTGCAAAATCTCAATGATCTTTTCCGGCCAATCTAGGTTTGGCCGCCTCAATGCTTGTTGCAGTACTTTCGTGGCCTCGGTGGGCTTGAAGGGTCGTCCACCGCCGTTGGGATCGGTCTCAATGTAAACCAGCTTGCTCCAGGTGTTCATCTCCCATAGATAGAAACGAAGCCAGAACTCGTAGCTATCGCCTCTCTTCAAAATCAACTTTTTCCAGGACTCTCTGGCGCCTTCCCAATTGCGACTCTGAGTCAAATATCTTATATAGATCTTTTCTAAGCGGTATTCTGGATCGCCTTGGTACTCAGTGCCATACTTCGTACGGCCCACGTTGTCCATGTCCTCAATTGCAGAACGAATACCGACCTCTGCCACATCCATATCTTCGTCTGTAGAGTCTTGATGGAAAGCTCGCCGTCTGAGGAAGCCGCACCATGCCGTGCTGACTTTGAGTACCTCCTCCAACCCTCCAGCATCAAGCAGACCAGTACTTGTGGCTTTGTGCTTGATATCTCCGATATCGGGAAACGGCAGATTGTTGTTTTCTGCTGACAAGAGAAACTGTGACCATAAACTTCCTGACCAAGGACAATGACGGGTTGCCTTGTCGAGAATTTGGAGAGCTGATATATCTCGACGACGATGAGTTGTGTTTTCCTCGACCAGGAACATAGCGTAGCCCTCCCATAACACGGAGTTGGAAGGAAACCGAAGGGTAGCCCGTTGATAAACAGCATTCGCAAGTTCGAACTTGAAGCTGTGTTTCTTCCGACTTTGGGAGAGCTCCCAGTCGACGTAGTCGTTATATGCCTTCAATTCGGCGTCTCTGTCATTCTTGTCACCCGCGCGCATGATTTCGAATTCCCTAATCTCGCGCAAACTGTACGTTTGTTTGGCATTTAATCCCAGCCTATTCGCTGTTACCATCGTGACTTCGTATTGTGCATTATCGTACCTCGAGACGAAGTTCGAGTAGGCTTGAAAAGTTTGATCCCATGTTGCGTGAGGCGTTTGAAGACGATTGATGAAGTGATACTGCGTATCGTTGATCGCCTCTTGCAGAGGAGATGACGCGAGCTCTAGCATCAACAACTCCGTCCATATGTCCCAGACGAGGTGACTGTCATTGATCCGCCACCTCGTTTCTTGTTCAGCACACTTCCAGACGTCCATCATTTGCGGCCAGCTGAAGACCTCTCTTGCCACCATACTATCTTCCTCAGACCATCCGTGCCGTGCCGGGATCGTCCCAATACCAGACACCCTCTGGTCGTGGGGATGTGCTTGTTTGTATAGTGACAACATCCATTGACCATATGCCAGCCATAGTTTCGTGCTGCCAGACTCTTCTTCCACAGCTTTTGCGCATATTTCCATGACCGAAATCCTATCCTCGAGTGAGCTCGCGAGCAGTGTTTGGTCTTGTATCCAGTCCGCCCAGAGGTCCTCTCCCAAGGCAAATCTGGAGCTCATGGTTTCTCTTGCGCTTTGTAGATCTTGCAGTAGGTCGTAGGATGCGGGTGAATGGACATGAGAATGGTTGGATAGGCCTTGATGCAAAATCTTAATGAGTTGAAAGTGAGAATCATAAGAAAATGGGTTGGCAGCGAGGTACTCGACCAGCTGTGTGACGGTCTGGAGATCGGTTTCCGAGAGAGCTTTCGTTGAGTACCTTCGCGGCGAAGCGGTCTCCGCTGGCCCCTCTGTCATTGCCATGTCATAAGACCCTCCTCTTAGCTGACTCGAGACTGTTGGTCTTGACATTGCCTGTAGAGCTGGGAGGATTGCTGCTGACGAAGTCGAATGATCGTAGATCTCAGCACTCCGCAGGCCGCCAGCATTTGCCCGTGCTGTTTGCTGATGATGTTGCATCGAAGCCAGGTCCGCTAATGTATCCATACCGGGTGTTGAAGGCTGCCTGCTTGTCCGGACGCCATCACTGGGGGATGTGCTACTAGCACTCATCCGCACTCCTAAGGCAGCAGGCCCCATGGCGGATGAGTTCGGGGCAGCATTTTGCGCTTGCACCACAGCGTTCTGCGGTAGGGTAGGGGGAGGAAGAGTGGTGTGGACAAGAGGTGAAGGTTGATTCACTTTGGATGTGCGTGGCTTTCGTGGTTTCTTCGCGGAGGCAGGTTTGACAGATGGGGCGGGATTCGCGCGAGGAGTTTCTTGGGGAGAAAGCAGGAGATTGATGTCCATGATTAGAGTAGTGAGTAAGGTTGATCAACGGATCAACGGATCAACCTCTCATGCACGGTTGAGAGTAGAGGCCAATGACGGTTGGAAGGAAGGGTCGGCTGCTGGCAAGAGCAAGCGACGGCACTGACGGGAGTTGCTCGGTCTTGACGCACTACACCCTCGTCACGAATCGTTGAAGCATGGCGCACCACCGTGTACACGAGCTGAATAACACGACACACGACTTTGCCGCCGATATAAACCGAGATACTTTGCTGTGAGTGACGATGGATGCAGGGGGGATAGCTTGAATGAGGCTGAAAGGTTTTGGCTTGTCAGAACGTTGGTTCACGTGGATTCTAATTTGTAGCGGCACCAGCGGGGCGCCGATCCAAACGCCCAAAATTTCAAGTCACTCGCCAGTCTACTTCACTATCTAATATCTATTGCAAAGCACTCTCTCGTCTCAACTTTACTGCTACCATGGATCCTGGAAGCGCAAATCTCAGCTCAACATCTACAGTACGTTATTATCATCATTATCAAGACGTCATCGAACGCCATCAGAACGGGACAAGGAGTTGGTGAACGGTGGGAGGAGTGAATGAAACAACGAAATGACGCAGCAGAGCCACGCTTAGAAAAGCTTCGCTCCTCGCTTGCTTTCTACCGCCGTTCTAGAACCTCCAAATTACAGGGACTTATCTACAGCAAGAGACAACATAAATTAACCAGAGCCCGCCCCACTGCTAATAATTGCCAAAGAACATGCCATAAACTGAAATAAAACTTGACGCCCGAACCCACACTCTGCAGAAGAAATGCAGTGCCATTACTTACTTGTAACTCCTATCATGGAGGAAGTCAATCCTTTTCGACAGTCAGCAGGTAAGCAAGCTTTGTGCACTTACAGGTACTTCTCTGGTCCAGTCTCCCAGGATGTTGCAAATACGAAGAATTTTCTTCTTTCTATTTTCCCCAATCTTTGAACCCTCTGCCGAGCTGATCATTCGATAAATTCGACCGACTTGCTCGCTGTGCGGCCCTTAATCGGGTACGAAGCAGCGGGTACCGGTGAACCAAAATGCCAACCTTCTCCAACGCTTGCCTGGTGAACACCAGAGCATAGCTACCATATGTGTCCTCCCATGGCGAATAATTTCACTCCGTCAGGGAGATACCCTCAGATATTTTGGAGCTCTTCGCTCAACTTGCAACAAGACTCTTTCTTGAAATCGACTCGATCGACTTTCTGACTGCACGGCTGGGATGGCCAAGTCGCAGCGGCGTTAGTAAGGTGTAGAGCAATTGACGCGGTCTTGTCGAAGGGATCTAACGGATAGGAGAAGGAGCGCTTGGAAAAGCCCGATCGGAGCCTCGAAATTTGTGTTTGACAGTGCTTGATCTAGCGTTGTCGTTGCGTTGCAGGAATGCTGGTTTCGTGCAACGTTGATGGGTGTTCTGGAACTTGAAGAAATGGTAAGACCTGTTCCATGACAATAGTATAACCGAGGACAGCAGAGAACCCCGAGTTTGGAGCACGTTTCCATCTGAAACTAAATGTCAAACCTGTTACGTGTAACGTGCCGTTCTTAGGCATTCAGTGACCGACAATATTCCCTGTGCTTTAAGACAAACTAATTTTCCCAGATGCAACTTCTCTGCCATTATCCCCCTTCGGGTGCTTAGTTAGAGTCGAAACTGTTCGTTCGCCGTGCGTGAAAGGAGACCATGACTTTGGTGCAACAGGAACCGCATGTTTGGCGGAGATATTTAGTTCGTATTAGGTTCGATTCCGCAGTTATTTACCAATAGCTGAGTCGAAAGACTATTTCTCGCGTTATCCCAACATTGCTGGTTACCTCGGCTCAAGTCATACGAGGGCGCTCGCCCTACTTACTCTCCCTCGGCTCTGATTGTTAATGTACCGAGGTACCGACTGATGGCTTCTCAGCAAACACCAGGCAAGGGAGCACTGCTCGGTTGTGATTCTGTCTAATGGGCGGACTTGATTTCCAATCTGAAGTTTCGGCTGGCTAATAATCGGTTGCTTCATTATGCCTTTATGCCCTCCATGTGTTTCCTCAACCCTCGTCCGCTCGCTCAGAGAAACCTTCACATACGCTCTCTATACCAGATTCAGACATGTCGATGTACACTTTGAGCGGTGACTCGTCTCAAGAGAAAGCTGTGAAGCTTTCCAGCAGAGGTGGAGTGACCAACGCGATCGAAGGAAGACACAACAAAACTGCAGATGTTGTGGGAAAGGGCCCAGAGACTGCCCTTGCTGATGGGTCGGACATCCCAGAAAAAGAAGATGCGCTTCAAAGAAAAGTCACGGCCCACGATTGGAACGGCCCTGATGATCCAGAGAACCCACTCAACTGGCCCTTATGGCAGCGGATCTACCACACAACAGTACCGAGCTTATTTGGTTTTGCTGTCACTTTGGGTTCTTCAGTATACACACCAGGCTATCCTGACGTTGAAAAAAGATTCAAGGTTTCGTCAACAGTAGCTCTGCTACCTCTTTCGCTCTATGTACTTGGTCTTGCCTTCGGGCCCGTTCTGGCTGCACCGATCTCAGAGACCCTGGGCCGGAGGGTCGTGTATCTGATTTCCTCGCCGATCGCAGCAATGTTCACCTTGGGCGCTGGCTTCTCGAATACCATTGCTGCCTTGGCTATCACTCGGTTCTTCGCAGGTTTCTTCGGATCACCAGCCTTAGCCGTCGGTGCAGGCACCAACGTGGATTTATGGGCCCCAGTCCATCGCGCTGCTGCCGCATCCGCGTTCCTGCTTGCGCCGGTCCTGGGTCCGGCTATCGGGCCGGCTGTGGGAGGGTTTGCTGCGCAGTACAAAGGATGGAGGTGGACACAGTGGCCGATATTGTTCCTTTTGGTCCCTGTCTACTTATACTCACTCGGTATGAAGGAGACGTACAAGAAGATCATCTTGCAAAAGCGTGCGAAGCGACTGGGGATACCTCCACCGCCAAAAGTGGGCCCGTCAGGATTAGCAGCTGTCAAATTCTTAATCACAGTCACACTCTTCCGGCCAGTCCGGATGATCTTCACAGAGCCTATAGTCTTCTTCTTCAGCTTTTACATTGGCTTCAACTTCTCCGTTCTCTTCGCGTTCTTCGACGCTTTTCCAATCGTTTTTGAGGGCGTCTACCATTTCGACCGCGGCTTTTCCGGCTTGACGTTCCTTGGCATTGGCTTCGGATCCTGCCTAGGAGTGGCAACCACCATGATTCTCAACAGACTGCGTTATCACAAAGAATATCTTAGAAGTCATAAAGAAGGCAGAGGTGGTGCCGTCGCACCAGAACATCGTTTGTATGCGGCAATGATAGGTAGCTTTGGTGTACCAGTTGGCCTGTTTTGGTTTGCATGGACATCACGTCATGACGTCCATTGGATCAGCCCAGTGCTTGCAACGGTTCCTTTCGCATGGGGCAACATCTCCATTTTCAACGCTGCGACGCTGTATCTTGTCGATGTTTACGGACCACTGAACGGTGCCTCGGCATTGGCGGCCACTGGTCTGGTCAGGTATATAGCAGGAGCTGTTTCTCCTCTCTTCACTGTCCAGAGTAAGTCATGCATCCCTAAAGGCCTTGTGAAGGGCATTCTTGCTGATTCGATCCTGTCAGTGTATGATAGAATGGGTATCGCATGGGCTACCAGTCTGCTCGGGTTCTTGTCGTTGACGATGTTGCCGATCCCTTGGGTATTGTTCAAGTTCGGTCCGCAGGTCAGGGAGAAGAGTCATTTCGACACTATCAAGGCATAGTATCGGAGCATATCGGCGCAGGTGTTTTTTGGTTGTATTGTCATCAGCGGTCATAGTAATTAGTATCGTGAGATGCCTATATCAATCGTCGTTCAGGCCTCGGCGTAGATGATGAACTAGGTTCTCGGCAAAGAAAAGCCTGAATTATGATCCCGCAAATCCTCACTGATTACGGCAACCCATTCTGGATTTCAGAAATATGCTTCCTCCAAACTGGGATCGTGATGGCTCGCAATTCTGCAGGCTCCGACGATGCCATCCACACGGACAGGAACGCGAGGGCTCCCGATCATGCAATCTCTGACAGCGTTCCCCACGAGAACAAGAACACTGAATTTGAAGCGCTTTTGAAACTCGGAAGCCAAGAACTCACAGATGCAATGCAAATCTGCTCAAGAACCCAATACACCCAATCTTCCAGAAACAGAGGTGGCGGAAATCAGCGCAAGATGCTTGGCTTCCACTGCAACCAGCTCTACGTCTGGCGTCAAAAGCCATCGGCGAAGACGAGATGGTAGCTTTTTGGTACCATCTGGTTGGGGAAGATAAACAACGCAAGATCTGTGCGAAGAATTCGGCCACGCTCTTGAACATTTCTCTGCTGAAGGACCATTGGCCTGCGAGTCGTCCCCCACCGCCGATTTTGGGTGATTTGACGAAGGATGAGACTTTTTGGATTTTGGCGACGGAGTATCCAACGCTTGCAGACGGAAGAATTTTGGGAGAACGAGATCAAAGCGCATGGAGTCAGAGCGTTGCATGTACCTCCGACTACTGGACATCACGACAGCCAACTTTCGTTGAACACTAATTGGAAGGCGGGCGTGAGTATGACACGAGGCCCGAATGACAACATGGTCGTTGACGTTTGGTCTTCTAAGATGGTGCACAATCCAGAATGTCTGAACAAAATCACTGTTATCGAAGAGAGAGCGAGTGTGTCCTCTAGTTGGAAGAGCAACAAGTAAATAGCCCGCAGTGGGAGTCTTTTCGATATCGATGAGGAGGCTGTGGCTGTACAGGCAGAGCTGTTTGGATGGTCCACCGTCCATCTTTCGGACGGAATATGTACTATCGAATCCATGCTCACCTCCTGGAATGCTAGCAACTGCGACGTCTTCCTCCATCGCAGAATAACAAACTCTTCCACATGACTCGTGGTTTCCTCGTCTTCTCCTGGTTCAGCCCACTCTTCTGAGCTTCCGGGGTGTTATTTCCCGTAT